TGGCAAAGGTGATGAAATACAAATCACCCCCAGCTTAAGAAGAAAAATAGCAAGAACAAGAAAAGGAGTGTCAACAAAAAGGAGAAGAGTTTCAAGAAACAGTGGGACAGCTAAGCTGAATATATTAGCAAAAGTGGCGCCATGAAAGGCCCACTGAAGTCCTTCTGTTGCTATATGCATCTTCATAAAAGCAATAGGCTGGATTTTGAAATTTCTCATGCCTGTATAAAGATGTTAAAGCATTTCCTGGCTAAACGTGATTGTATTCTTTAAAAACTAATAATCAAATTAGAAAATGATGAATAACGGGACTCCTTGGCAAAATATATATAATTGGCCAACCTCTGTCAAATTCTGAAACTGACGCAGATCCCCAGGAAGCCTTTCCTGCTTCCCCCCAGTGCTATGGTCCAAGAGTTTCTTAAATACCACATTCTGTGAGGTGTTATGTCATGTCCACCTCGGAATGTGACCTTATTTGGAAAGAGGGGATCTTTGCAGGCTTAGTTAGTTAGAATCCCTAGATGAAATCAACCTGGATTTAGGGCTTACCCTAAACGATGGTGTCTCTATTAGAGAAAGGAGAAGGACAGTAGGACATGTGCAGACCTACAGATTCCAAGCAGGCAGAGACACAGAGAAGTCCATGTGGGGATGGAGGCAGAGACGGGAGTTATGTTGCTACAAGCCAAGGAATGCCAGGAGCCACCAAAGCTGGATGAGGTAAGGAAGGATTTTCCTCTGAAGACTTCAGAGGGAGCACAGCCCTGCTGGCACCTTGGTCTCAGACTTCTAGCCTCCAGAACTGTGAGAGAATAAATTTCTGTTGTTTTAAGCCATCACATTTGTGGCAATTGTTTATGGCAGCTCTAGGAAAATGCCAAGTGTCCAGTGCACTGCTCTCAGGGACGTCTCCCCGGCGACCATCAGACAAACTCTCACTCGCCCTTGCAGCTATATTGATACAGATACCAAAAACTGCATCGGACTTAGTTAACCATGAATTTGCTCTTGGATGACATTTCTGCCTTACTTGTCAACTTGAAAGTATTTTCTAGAGAATTTAGATAAAAGTACAAAATACGGAGTCAGGGTCTTAGTTCAACTTTTATTATTTACTGTGTGACTTTGCATATATCCCTTAACTTCTTTGAACCTCAGTTTCCTTATTATATGTAATAAAAATAATAATGGCTTCATAAAGACGAGACTTACTGGCCTGACAGAGACTGGAGCAACCCTGAGAGTATGGCCCCTGGACACCCTTTTAGCTCAGTAATGAAGTCACTCCTGAGGTTCACCCTCCAGCCAAAGATTGGACAGCCCCATAAAACAAAATGAGACTAAAGAGGCACTCCAGGGGCAAGGAGTAGAAGGCAGGAGGGGACAGGAAAGCTGGTAGGAACCCAAGGTAGAGAAGGGAGAGTATTGACATGTCGTGGGGTTGTTAACTGATGTCATAAAACAATATGTGTACTAACTGTTTAATGAGAAGCTGGTTTGTTCTGTAAACTTTCATCTAAAGTACAATAAAACAAAAGTAATAATAAATAATGGCTTCAGTTTATGTAAGAAACTGAAATGGAAATACAGTTTTCTTGATAATGTTATTATTCACATAGTGTTTAATGCTAATTATATCAGTAGTAACTGTCTTTTTGAGATCTCAGGTGCATTTAAATGGATTAATGATAATCATTACTCAGTGGCATACTATTAGCTAGAGTACAGAGCCTCTTTTATTTGTATTTAATTTAAATAAGTTTTGCTATTTGTTCCCTTTGTTCCTATCCAAATATCATTCACTCCCCCTTCCATAAACACTATCATAGGTTAAGTTTTCCAGGAAACAGACTCTGAGATGCCATTTAATATTGAGGATGTTTATCAGGGAGTGTCCTCTGGAAAGTAGGTGAGGACGCAGGTTTGGGCAGAGGGAAAAGTCCATCTATGGTATATGGGCACATCAGCCCCAGCCAACCTAAAGAGGAGCTCTGTAATGGCCCAACAGAGTTGTCCACATGGGCCAAAGTGGCTAGGACTCCATACCTCAGTCTCAATCTGCTATTGGATATGAGACCTGGTGTGAGGTGGCTATGTCTAGCTGAGTCAACCCTTATAGTGACTGAGATCTGGAGGCCAACTGATGACAACAGTCTCAGAAGCTGAAGGAACAAGTCCTCCCTTGAAGGGACATCTGGAGAGCACATCACAGTGTCCACCACAGGCCCCACATTTTATGTATTTAATTATATAACTTTCTATATTTCCTCCTATGTGACACAGCAAACATTGTTGGTACTGTACCAGTAGAAACAATCCCAACACACTTACCATTACTATGTAGAAGGGACACTATTGATAGATTAGCCTGTTGCACACACCCCAGTCACAACGGCAATGTTGCTACTCCAGTTTCTTTTGTGTAATGTCCACTACCTATATTTCTTTCCCTAAGTCCCACTCTTTGATGGGACCAGTCGGGTTCCTGACAGTAACACAGCTCCTTCCAGTACCCTCCTGGGTCCACCTCACGCTGTGCAGCTCCAGTTCCATTCTCTTTTGTGTTTTCCTCCTTCCCCACCTGCCTTAGCCACTGCAATATCAGCATTGTTTGCAGTCAGGGCCCCCTTTATTAATTTCTTTCCCCAAATACAACAAAATATATGGTGTAGTAGAAGTGCACCATAATTGTACATTTTTAATTGTTTTAATGTTTCCAATTCTATTTATAGTATTTCAACTTGTATTTATGTAGGTATACATAGTTTTAAATGAATGAGATCATGGTAAATTTAAAAATATATATATTTATCATTTTTGGAAAGAAGCAAAAAATGTAATGCTCACGTAGTCTCTTTTACTTGCTTTTGGTTTCCCAATTCAGAGATAAACTCTCCATTCTATACATGTTTTAAAACTACTTCTGGCAAGGAAAGAAGGAAGTCTATGAACCCCCTCATCTCTGTGTCGCCTACCTCTAAACCACAGAAGCACAAGGCGAGAACCAGAAGGAACAGCCCCCTGTGGGTTTTCCCGTAAATACTAGGTTATTCTTCAGGGGCCACTGTGGGGCAAGAGACTGCAGAGAAGGCAGGGCTCTGGGCTCCTCTCTGTTTATGCTTCACCGTACAAAATAGTATGCATTAAATACACACAAGTTTAGTTCAAAACATGGGTTTTGTTGCTTAAAAAAAAGTTGAGACCTTATTTAATAAAATCAAATGCAGAGGCCCCAAGTGGAATTCACTCATCCAAGATTCAAAAACGTTACCTTACTTCAAGTTTTATTCTCTTTGGTCTTCGGGCTCCAGTCATGAATAGTTGCTCGGTTATTGTCTTTAGTAACCCTGCGTCTTCTCAAGCCTGGCCCAGGCCTGGCTTCCAGACAGGAGGTCCTGCTGAGAGTCTAGCTCCGACCTGGCCTGGAACTCAGACTTAATTCCTCTGGCTGACGCCTGCTTTTGGTTTCTGCTTTATTCAGTAATTGTCTTTTCCTCTTTTGTTTCTGTCCTGCCTTCAGATGCCATAGACCTTGACCACAGCACTGCTGATGCTGTGTGCCATCAAGTTGATTCCGGCTCCTAGAGACCCCACAGGACAGAGTAGGGCTGCCCTATAGGGTTTCCAAGGCTGCAAATCTTTATGGGGGAGCCCTGGTGGTGCAGTGGTTAGGTGCTCAGCAGCTAACCAACAGGTCAGCGGTTTGAACCCATCAGCGCTCTGGCGGGAGAAAGATGTGGCATTTTGCTTCTATAAAGATTTGCAGCCTTGGAAACCTTGCGGGGAAGCTCTACTCTGTCCTAGAGGGTCACTATGGGTCAGAATTGACTCGACGGCAATAGCATTTTTTCAGTCTTTAAAGGAGCAGATCACCAGGTCTTTTCTCCTGCAGAGCCGCTGGTGGGTTCAAACCATCAACCTTTGGGTTAGTAGCTGATTGCTTAATCACTGAGCATGACAGGATCTATTTTAAGCCTAGAGATACAAGTATTTGAAGGCAGATGAGTATGATGATAGGAGTGCTATCCCCTTACCACATATTCAGAATAGCAATCAGCTAACAAACTGAACTGTCATGGAGCCAGCCATTTGTTTTGTCATTCTTAAATTTCATATGGGAGGTTTAGCAAAAACTAATTACTCTTGATGATTATTTGACAGATTTGTTTCAAAGACTACGGAAACAGATAATTTGAAGCATCAGGTTGAATAAATAATCACTATGTTTCTAAGAGACTGATTAATTCTAATATAAATGTCTTGTTTAGAATGCATTGCACTAGTTGTATGCAGTGCAGATTCTTAATGTCAAATAACTTCCCAAAACTGTCATGTTTTTGAAGCATCTTACTGGGATGAGTCTATTGTAAGGTTTATAAAGGCACTAAGTTTAGGACCCATGTCACATAATCTATATTAATAAATTCACAAACAATTTTTTTATGTTAGTATAAGATAAATCAAGTGACTGTATTTCTGAAGTAATAAATTATAAATACATAGGTACTGTACTCTTATGCACTCTCCTTCTTGGGGTGTGAACGATAAAGAACTTAACAAGCACTATGTGCCTCTTATGGGCTAGGGATTTTTGCATACATTTTATTTAAGTTTCCTAAAAAGTAAACATAACTGAAACTTAGAAATAAAATTATATTCATGACTTTTAAAAGCTCCTCTGCTTGTGAAAAATATGATGCGGGTCTGCTAAGTGTTTATAATACAAAAGGATGAACACTGGGAATTCACTTACTCTATAAAAGATAATTTCAAGGGATATATGCCATATATTTTAATAAAGTAATGATTTACTTAAAAAAAAGATAATTAGATATTTGTTGTTTGTTGTTGTCATGTGCCATCAAGATGATTCCAACTCATAGTGACACCATAGGAGTGGAACTGTCCCAAAGGGTTTCCAATCTTTAATCTTTACAGGAGCATATCGCCAGGTCTTTTTTCTCACTGAGTGGCTGGTGGCTTCGAACGGCAGACCTTTTGATTCGCAGCCTAGCACTTAACCATTGCTCCACCAGGGCTCCTTAATTAGATATTTAGTGTATTATATTAGAAGTCAAGCATTTTTAGTACATATTTTCATATTATCTTTTATGTTACAAATTGTCATAATCACAACACATCTGATTTTAAAGGAAAGCACCATAGTTTTCTCTTCCGACTTATCCCTCTTCCTTTAATCCCTAACCCCCTTGCTTTCGGTCACACTGAACTCTTCGTGGGCGCATACGTACTCAGGCTCTCTCTCTCACAGCTGGGCCTTGCATAGGTTCTGTCTTCTTTCCCGAAAGTCTGTAGCTTTCCCCATCCCTGCCATGGCTTCTCCTCTGTTTTAGAAAATTCCTAATTTTATTTCTCTGTTAAAATATCTAGACAGCCTCCCCTGACTCCTTCACTGAACATCCCAGCCCAGACTGCGTTAAGTGTTGCTCCAATGAGCTTTCATAACAGAAATTTCGCTGTTCCTTCTTTGCATCACTTACCACTCTCTACTGAATGTGCCTACTGTCTCCTTGTTCACAAGCCTGTTCAGTTATCTCTCCGTCTTAGTCATCTGGTGCTGCTATAACAGAAATACCACAAGTGGATGGTTTGAACAAAGAGAAGTTTATTTCCTCACAGTCAAACTAGGCTAAAAGTCCAAATTCAGGGCGTCAACTCCAGGGGAAGGCTTTCTCTCTCTCGGCCTTCTCAACAATGTTCCCCCAGACTAGGAGCTTCTTGGCGCAGGGACCCCTGTCCAAAGGACACGCTCTGCTCCTGGCACTGCTTTTGTGATGGTATGAGGTCCCCAACTCTCTGCCTGCTTCCTTTCCCTTTTATCTCTTGAGAGATAAAAGGTGGTGCCAGCCACACCCCAGGGAAACTCCCTTTACATTGGATGTGACCTGGGTAAAGGTGGTGTTACAATCCCACCCTAATCCTCTTTAACATAAAATTACAATCACAAAATGGAGGCCAACCACACAGTTCTGGGAATCATGGCCCAGCGAAATTGATACACACATTTTTTGGGGGACATAATTCAAACCATGACATTCCCTGAGGACAAGGACTGAACCTTGTTCTGCATGTATCCTTGGCACCCAGCACAGTGCCTGGTTTACAGTGGGTGCTTGGTGCTTTGGATTAATTCACGTCCACATGGTTGTGGTTAGAGTGGTATCCCTATGAACTAACATCACTTTTCCTGAAATTTCAGTGTTTTTCAGTGTGATTTTTGAGTACGATGGAGCAGACACATGCTGTCATGCAAACTGTGTGATTACTTGGGTTCCACCATCCTTTGACTGGAACATTTTTGAGATGGGAAGAGCAATCTCATTGACAACAACGTAAGTGCCACCAGGTGGGAGCACTCTCTCCCCTGCCCTCCTTGGACACTTGCTTGAGCCTCTGTCACAGCCTGCATTACTACCCTTTGTGTTGTTAGCTGCTGCAGGGTCAGCCCCTGACTCACTGCTACCCCTGGACAGCGGAACAAAAACGATGCCTGGTCATGCACCATCTCTAAGATTGATTGGGGATCAGGCCATTGTGGTCCACAGGGTTTTTGTCGGCTGATTTTCGGAAGCAGATCATCAGGTCTTTCTTACTAGTTCCCCATGTTCGTCTGGAACTTCTGCTGAAATCTGTTCAGCATCATAGCAACATGCAAGCCTCCGCTAACAGACGGGTAGTGGCTGCTCATCAGGTGCCTTAGCCAGGAACTGAACTTCTATCTTTCCCATGGAAGAGGAGCATTCTATTCCTGCATCACCAACACCCTGTCCCAATCCCTTGTAGTCATGGAATGTGTCCTTTTTCTCTTACCTTATGCTCTGAGGGCTTGAAGAGAGGGACTTTTTCATCTTTTTCTTCTTTATATTCCCCACAGTGTCTGGCACATAGAAGAGGACAGTAATTGTGGGACCAAATTGATAAGAAAATTAAGCAAAAGCCAAATAAGTATCATTTTTGTTTGTTTAATCAGTATTTTTTAACATAGCTGTAGTATCTCTTGTCCTTTTTTTTTTTTCTGATTATAAAAACTCATCCAGCTCATTCTAGAAAATTTTGGATAAAACAGACAAATATTAAGAAGAAAAATGAAATTTACCCATAATACCTAGATTAATCTATGTTAGAACTTCAGCATATTTCTATCAAGTCTGTCTTCTTCAGTCGTAAATGAGCTTATACCATATATATTATTTTATATTTAGCTTTTATACTTAATACAGTATCATAAATATTTTCTATAATTATAAATTCTATGACAACATAATATTCTACCAATGAATGTTCATAGCTTTTTTAATATAGCTTTTTTATTATCATTCCTTAACATTGAGCATTCTTTATTGAAGATTGTTTATAAATTTTTCACAACAAAAAATAATTTGAAATCTATCCCATGAATGTTCATAACTTTTTAAACCAGTCTCTTAGTACTAGACATTGTTTTTGGAAGATTGTTTATAACAAATAGTTATGGAGGTCCTTTCAATGTGCCAGTACTGTTTTACATGCTGGATAAATTGGCAAAAGTATCTGTCTGCATGGAACTTATATCCTAGCTAAAGAGACAAAAAAACAAGCATGATAAATAATTTTTAAAAACATGTGGTACTTTAGGTAGAGATGACTGCTACAGAAAGAAAGAAATCAGGGAAGAGGGAAAGAAAGTGTCAGAGGGAGGTCACACATTGGGATTTAGGTGGCCAGAGAATACCTCACTGAGAAGATGATATTTGAACAGGGACCTCAAGGAGGTGAGGGGACAAATTATTCCAAAACCAGCAGAAGAGCATTCCAGGCAGAGGAAAGACTACGCAAAGGCTCTAAGAAAGAAAGAATGTGCCTGGTATGTTCAAGGACCAGCAAGTCATACTGATTGATGGGGATGGAAGTAAGAGATGAGGTTAAAGAGATAAAGGAGGTCAGAATTTGTGGGTCTTGCAGGCCACCGTAAGTACTTGGCTTCTACTCTAAATCAGCAGGAAGGCACTGGCAGGTACTGAGCAGAGGAGTGGCACAGTATGACTTGTGTTTTCACAAGGTCACTGTGACTCCTGGTTGGAACAGATTTGAAAGCAACAAGTCAGAAGCAAGGACACCAACTGAGAAGCTACTGCGGTAAAACAGGTGAGAGGACAGTGGCTTGGCTCAGGGTGTTGCAGTGGAGGTGGGGAAAAGTCATCAAGTTCTGATTTATTATTTATTGTTAGATCAGATGTGGGGCAAAAGGGGACAAAAGGGATCAAGGATGCTGTCAGCTTTTTTGGCCTGAGCAACGGGTAGAAAGGAGATGTCATTTAGTGGCGATGAGGCAGATTGTAAAAGGAACAGGATGGGGTCAAGCCCATGTCCATTTTCCACATCCTTAACTTTGACATCTAAGTGAAAATGCCAAGTACGCAGATTAATGTATAAATCTGAAATTCAAAGAAGTCCTGGCTAAAAATATAAATTTGGGGATCTTCAACATAGAGATTGTATTTAAAATATAACATTCTCTTGCATAAATCCTTATTCATACTTCTGATTATTTGCTTCACATATATAACTATACATGGAATATTACAGTCAGAATTTCCTGATTCATACACATAAATTATTTCCCCCAAAACACTGTGCCAACTTAAGCCTTCTACGTGCAATGTCATTTAACATCTTTGAATATGCTAATTTAAAGAACAAAAGTACCAAAACCAAACCAGCTGCCTTTGAGTTGATTCCCACTCATGGTGACCCCACATGTCTTACAGCAGAACTGCACTCCCTAGGATTTTCAATGGCTGTTCTCTTTTGGAAGTAGAGTGTCAGGTTTTCCTTTAGAGCGGCCTCTGAATGGATTTGAACGGCCAACCATACCGTTAGTAGCCGAACACTTAACCATTTGGGTACACCTGCACATATATTTTTGTACTTTTATTTTGCATTACTTTGATTATTGGTGAAGATATTCTTGGGTTCAAAACTAAAATCAAAACATAATTCTATTAACAATGAAAAAATATACAAAAACATGTATAAATATACACTGCCACATACATATATAAACACATATAGACAATATACACCAACCTAGGAATAACTTTGATAACTAAATGTAGTTTACAAAGAAAAACTTCATGTCTTTACAGAGAGAAATAAATTATGAATACACAGAAAAGAAAACATTAAAAAGTTGTCAATTGCTCCAGTATAGAACATAGTTTCATCATAATTCCAAAACCAAATCTGAAAACACTGTTTGTAACGTTTAATATATTACTTGAAAATTTATTTGAAAGAATAAACAGGTTACAAAGGCTGAAGAGAATGGAGTATTAGCCTTCTTAAATATTTAATCAGGTTTAAAAGCGAAAATGATTAAATTAGTATAATTGTTATTTTTGTTGTGTGGCTTCCAGTTGATTCTGACTCATAGCAACACATGGGACAGAGTAGAACTGCCCTATAGGGTTTCTTAGACTATAATCTTTAAGGGAAAATATTGCCCGGTCTTCTCTCCCAAGGAGCAGCTGCTGGGTTCAAAACTGACCTTTCAGTTAGCAGCCAAGAGCTTTCAACATCGTGCCACCAAGCCTCCTTAAACAAGTATAATACTGACCCAAAAATAAACAGGCAAATTTATAGACAGGCCAATGTATATATGCAAACTAGTTTATAATAAAGGAGATATCACAAACTCAGGGAAAGCAAAAGATAGTCAAGATATCATAATGGAGTCATTATTCTATCTGGAAAAAATGTTTAACTGTTTGCCTCCAGCTGAATACAACACAAAATATAAATATAATTTAAGTAGCTAATTATGTAAAAATACAACTATATTTAAAAAACAACTAGAAGAAACTTGGAGGATATTACTTAATTTCTAGTTAGGAAAATATGTTTCTAAACTTAAGTGGAAGAAATTACAAAAAAATAGATGTATTTGACTATGTAGACAAAAGTTCTTTATGTAAAAATGTCAACAATATAAAACTGCCAAAAACAAATGGAAAAACAGTATGGCAGGAAAGGGTTAATAGTATTAATAATTAACTCTAGTATAAATTCACCAAAAAGCATTACAAAAAAAACCAAAAACAGTGCCTTTTAAGTCTCTTCAGACTCATGGTGACCCATGTATTAAGACTCTTAAAATGAATGGACACAGAATGTGAACTGGGGCTTCATAAAAAAAAAAAAGAAGTGAACAGTCTACATAATAGTGGTTTTTATCTTTCAGTGAGAAAAGCCATTTATTGTTAAGATCACAGGGCACTGTCTGTGGGTGGGGAGAGGGACAGAGCTGATTAATAGAAGTGTGTGGCTGGAAAACACTCATTTGCCAAACCTGATTCTCTCGCCAGCTCCGGCTCTCGTTTTGTTATGCCCAGTGTCTGAAAAATTTCACCAACTCTTATTAACTCTCCTTGCAGTTATTCAGTGACTCTGCTCTATGATTTTAAACAGTTGGCTGGTCTGATTAATATAGGGTGAATGAAGTGAAAGAAGGAATATAAGAAGAAAGAAAACATAATCACCTTAAGAGAAAAACAGAAAGAAACAAACAACAAGGAAAAATAAAAATCGATTATCCTAATCCTGAAAGACATACAGTTTACAAAAAAAAGTTCATATAAATCACTAATCCAAATGCCAAAGAAAACTTTGATTCCTTTCAAAGAAGTAATCCTCTAATGCATATTAGATTGCCTCATCCTCCGTATGAAGCAAAAGAAACTAAAGTGCTTTATTTTATAAAGCATAATGCCTTTGATCTGCTACTAAAATTCCATTGTCTATATTCTTTCTTTTTTTTTTCCTCAAAAAATATACAAATTAAATACAATGTTTCATAGGCTAGGGAATAAGCACCATTTTCCCTTATAAATTTTTTTAACATGTTGTGATGGATATGGCTTAAAATTACATATTTGTATTTGTATATGTAATATATATACATGATACGTAAATGATATGATACATTGCTACAATGTCTTTTTCTTTAGTAAAACTTGGTGTACATTCCAAAGAATCATCTAATAGGATTTAGAGACTTCCGGCAAAATGGCGCTCTAGGCAGAAGCACCACGCCATCTCTCCATAGCAAAGATCCGAAAAACTAAGCGAAACAGAGAAAACAGCAATCCTGAAACCCTAAAACATCAAATGAAGAGAGAAAGAACTCAGCCAAGCACCAATGGAGTGAGAAAACTGACAGAGAATGGAGAGTGAGGAGAGATTCATGCAGAGGTCCCGTATCAGCTAACACAGCATGGATCTGCCATCTTGGAGTCCTATCAGAGACCAGCAAATAGGGGTTATGAGAAAGCAGCTTCACAGGAGACAGAACAACCGGTAATTTGTGATATACGCTTTCCCACCCCCTGCTCTTCTTCACCCCCACTCGGTCTCCTCTGCTTCCCACGGCCACAGTCTCTTGTCCGGGAAGTACCAGCTGCTTGGATTCCACCCGCCCACACTGGCTGGCTCTCTGAGTGCCATTTGTTGTAGCTTTTTTTCTGCTGCTTTTGATTTCTTCCTTACCTCTCACCACCTGCCCCTCCTTTTGCTCAAATACCTGGCTCTGTGCGCAATCTTTGCTTCTTTCTGAGGGGCTGTGGAGCTCCATTCGAGTGAGAAACTGCTTCCTGGTCTGGGCTGCCACGCTGGTGGGATCCCGGGGCTTTTGTTTGTTTGTTTTGAATTGTTTGTTTGTTTTCTTTTCCTTTTCTTGATTTGGGGCCTGTTCTGGCCAGGCAGTGCTGCGCTTCTTGGAACCTACCCCCTTGGCTTGTGCAGACGTGCAGGGGGATCCCTGAGGACATTTCTTTCTTTGTTTTTTTTTTTTCTGTTTTTTGGGGGGCTTTTCTTGTTCTTTTTTTTTTTTTTTAATTTGTT